GGGAGAGAGAGATAGAAACATCAATGATGAGAGATTCATTGGTTGAGCCCGCAACCCGGGCATGTGCCCTGACCAGGAATCGAACCCTGATCGCCTGGATCCCAGGTCAATGCTCAACCGCTGAGCCACGCCCAGCCGGGCGCAATGGGGATTTTTTAAAATTAGATACAAGGGAGGTGAGAGTCACTGTGAAATTAGAGTGCCAAGCTTTGTGGACGCAGGTTAGCAAGAGAAAAGAATGTCCCTTTAGAGACAGACTGTTGGATGACAGGAGGTGAATAGACAAAACTGCAAGTGGAAAGGATGGCTTGAGGACCTGAAACGAGGCCAGGGGGGCAAGTAGGCAGAGGGTTTGGGGGGAATGGGACACGCGGGGCCGGATATGTAGGCAGGGCTGGATCCTGAAAGAGTTGGAAATGCTAGTGCTTTAAGCTTTACTTTTAACAGCAAAGGGACACCATTGACGCAGGAGGGTTAGCCTGGTCAAATTTGCACCTTGAAAAGATCACTCTAGCCACAGCGCAAAACCAGGTTGGAGAGGTGAGGGTGGTGGGTGTGCCCTGAGCAGTCATCTTCCAGGATGAAATGGTGATCGCTTGGCTTGGGGGCGGCAGAGGAGATGGCAAGAAATGAACAAGTTCAAGAGGCTTTAAAGACAGTTAACTGGGCAGGACTTGCAAAAATGTGAAGAAAGGACGGTGCTAGGAGGCCTTTGAAGTTGCTGACTGTGGAGCAGATGGTTGGGGTACCATACGGGGAACACTGGGAAGCACAGTGGGCAGGACCGTGTGTGGTCAGCTTTGGACATCCTAAATTTGAGGTATCTGTAAGGCAGTTTGATATGGGCTTCTGGAGCTCAAAAGAGTGGGGCGGAGGGCTAGAGCTATACACTTAGGAGGCATTGGCACAGAGGCGAGGGACACATCACAGCCAGGGGCGAGATGATTTTGGGGGCACAGGGCAGTGTGTGAAGGAGGTGAGGTCAGCGTGCTGACTGCTCTGGAGAAGTCGGTGCGAGAGC